TTCTCCCCTCGATTGCGACGTCATCTGCCTTCTTACAAGACCTTACCTCTCTTTCAATTCTGTCCATTGACAAACTCTCCACTCTACCACTCTTGAACTCTGTTTCTGTACTTGACTTTCGTCAGTCGTTGCTTACTGCGATCTTTGTCCGCAACGTCATTCCATCAGCATAACAACTCAACTATTGACGATTCTTGCTGAATCAATCAACACTACAACTCCATACCAACTTGCTCCAAATCTGCTATCATGTCTACTCCTCGTATCAAGCGTCAATTCGCCGGCGCCTCTGCCGACCCATCTCAGCGCCAAATCACCTCCTTCTTCAATGCCCGATCATCGGATGAGTCTGCGATCGCTGAGGCCGACAAGCCCATGCAACCCACTCTTCCTTCAAACGTCCAGGCCAACCTCCTTAGTGTCGGTATGCGAGTTCGCAAGTCCGTTCCCGAAGGCTACAAGACAAAGGGCACTAGTGCTTTCAAGCTCTGGACAGACAATGCACCTGTAAACGTTTCTACCGCCTCTGCAACGGCACCTGGCAAGGGTGCTTCCCGAGAGCTTCTCCCCTTTTGCGGAATCAACAAGGTCGGCGGCCTCGATACCCAGCCAGAATTCGAGGATGATGTACCAGACCTCGATGCTATTCCCGAGCTCACCATGTCGCAAGAGAGTGCGGAGGGCGAGTCGTATGACGGTTCTCGGAAGCGAATTTTTGACGAGGATGACGACGAGCTTGATTCGAGCTTTGACATGGGCAACCATGGAAACCCTCGTGTTATGGCCATCCCAGTTTCACGAAAGGGTGCCGGTTTAAGGAGCTTTGGCCAGGACAACCGCAACTCGGGATCTGACTTTGATGAGGCTGATTTCCTCGTCAACCCCGAAATGGATCTGGCCAACTGAGTCACAGTTTTATTCATTGGCTCAAGCAGAGCTTTGTATGTTCTCATGTTTACTAGAAGCTATGTCGCGGCGTCACAAGCTTTGGGTCCGGCGTTCAGGATTATGATTTATTAATGCTCTAGAGCGGTTGTATGTTATTGGAAGGCAAAAGTGAATCCGGACTCGCTGTATGCTGTATGCAAATAAGACAAACCGGTCGTTACAAGACCTACAATTATATCCTTATCCACCAACTTACATACCAACGAATGGCTCTCGGAATTCTAGCAGATCTCGTTGACCGTAAAACTCACCAGCTATCGTCAAGATCATGTTGAGAGTCGCGCGTAAATTCGCTCGCAGTTGCTGTTTGGCATTCTCCTTTTCGAGATCCTCCTCGTCTTCTGATGTCATTCCATTACTGATCCGGGCGAGTAGTCGTTCTCTTGCTGCCTCGAGGTTCTCCTGGGGCTCCTGGGCAGTAACTTCACCTTCTTCGGCTTCTGAGTCGGTCGCGATCTCCATAGCCACATCTTCGTCTTCGTCTTCGTCTTCTATCTCACCTTCTTCAGCATCAGGCTTTGGGGGAGATTCTGTTGTGGGTTCCGTGACTTTGGGTGTCTTCTCGACCTCCTTTCTGGACTCAGCCAGTGGTGTTGGCTCGTCCTCATCCTGCCCGGAGCTGATAGCACCTTCGACCTCCATATCGTCCGGGTCTGCCAGAAATTCTTCATCGCTACTGCTTCCATCAACTGCTTCGTGGGCCCCTAGTCCACCCTCTGCAAGCTCCTCCCTTAGAGCCGCCATCTCTGCTAGGCTACGACCTAAGAGGACTGCTCTGCGACCAAGGTCGCGAATCCAGCCAATCTCGGTGTGGTTGAGCTCGCCCTTGTCCGGCATTCTAGCAAGCAGTGCCCAGATCCAACGGCTTGTGCGTTCTGGAAGTGTGTACCCTTGACGAAGGAATTTACCGCCAAGAAGAATGCGCAGAATGCGTAGTGTAGTGTCTTTAGACATAAGTGCGACTTGAAGCGGGTGGGGATCGGTTTCGCGAAGGAGTCGTGACCACGTAGCTATCGCCGCCGATTGATTTTCCGCAGGTGCATCAGTTTTTAGTCGGGCTTTGACGACACGGGAGACGGCGTTGGAGGGAAGATCAGCGTGAAGAATAGACCGTAAGCGGAGGTATTGGTCCATAACCGATGCAAAGTAAGCTTCATTCAAGGCGGCTTCTTCGTCGCATTCATCGTCGTAGTCACCCGGGTATTCGCCGCCTTCGTAATCGTCATCTTCAGCCGCGTTGTCGGGCATTGCCATATATGCGCCGTCTTCGTACCAGCCCCGAGAATCGCCGACACCATTATTGTATACACTCCTGTCGATATGTTGCTCGACTTGTTGTCGATCGTCGCTTCGAAGCTCGGGGGGTAGCTGGGGTCCTATTTGGACTTTTGGCGCAACGAGGAGATGGGGGATCCCGTTCGCTTCTTGTCTATAATACTCACCATATCAGCATCTGTTCTCTACAGTTTTGCGATCTTCAGCAAAGTCGACAAACGCGCAAAAGATGAGAACACACCTGACAGAGTTTAAATATGCCATCGCTTCTGAATCATCTTCGAAATCGTCCTCTTCTCCCTCCGGGATCGTGGATGTATGGCCGTTTCCTGCGAAGACATATTTCTGGCCCCAGGTTGGGTCGATGCCAGAGTTTTGATGCTGTCGCGTCTTGCCGCCTTGTTTCTTTGATCGCTTTGGTTGAGGGGCTGATACTTCGCCTTCATCGGGGTCCTCGAGATCTCGTTTGGCTGTCATTTTAATATGGTGCTGATGCTTGTTCGAGCTTGGAGAAAATACCTAGGAGGATGGGATCGGACCCTTGAAAGATGGGTTGCAGGGGCCTTATCGATAAGCCAGAAAGGTGCAGCTCATCCCGCTTTTTGAACATGACCCTCAACTAACACCTTGAGTATAACAGTTTCTGATGTTGATAATAAGTCCACCATGAGCGTGTCTCGTGTACGGCTATTAGCCTATAAATCAGCTTCTTCTCACATCAAATCTTGCCCGAGAGTTTATGCACGACCTGTAATACAATGGCGTTCTTATAGTAACTACAACCACTTTGTTGGTCGCAGTGAGTAACTCATCTTCTTTAACAAACTCAACTAACAAATACAGCCAAGCTTGCCTCCACAGACCCGAATGCTGATTTCCTTCCTTTTATGTGTAAGGAAGTGAAACCTTTCACTTTGGCTATCAAGGATAATATCGTAACCTCTGACTTCCCCACGCAATGCGCTTCAACCATTCTCTCCTCTCACTCCTCACCCTTCGAAGCTACGGTGGTTCGTCAACTGCGCAAACGCGGAGCTACAGTGGTTGGAAAGACCAACATGGATGAATTCGGTATGGGCTCTCATTCGACAAACTCAGTGAATGGCGCAGTAAGAAATCCCCTGGCCAAGGATGACGAAGTGTCAGCCGGCGGAAGCTCAGGTGGAAGCGCCGTTGCAGTACGACTGGGAGATGCCGATATTGCCATAGGAACAGATACGGGTGGCTCAATTCGATTGCCTGCAGCATATACCGGAATAGTTGGCTACAAACCTAGTTATGGCATGATTTCTCGGTTTGGTGTAGTTCCATATGCAAACTCTCTGGATACAGTCGGCTTCTTGTCTAAGGATGTGAAGTCGATACACAACCTCATCTTCGAGACTGGCATGCACAACGAACATGACTCTTCGGATCCAACATCACTACCGGCCGCATCTCGAAACCGATGTGCTTCAACAATTCCAGTCACCCTTCCCGAGCTATCAAGACTTAATATCGGCATTCCCCTTGAATACAATATTGACGAGCTTGACCCTTCTATCCGCGCCGCTTGGGTTTCTGCTGCCTCTGTTCTCGAGGCTCAGGGCGCAACTCTAGTTCCGATCTCTCTACCTTCCACGAAAGAAGCCCTATGTGCTTACTATGTCCTCGCTCCCGCGGAAGCATCATCGAATCTCGCCAAGTACGATGGTGTTCGCTACGGAAAGCGCGGTGAAGGTAGTGATGCAGTGGGCGAGACTCTCTACTCTGATACCCGTGGTGAGGGCTTCGGTGAAGAGGTCAAGCGACGAATTCTCCTTGGCACATACAGCCTCAGTTCTGAGGCAATAGACAATTACTTCATACAAGCCCAAAAGGTTCGGCGGATGGTGCAGAAGGATTTTGATCGCGTATTCCGACTCGACAACCCCCTTTATGAGCCTGCGCAGTTTGACTTGAGTGATATGGCTGAGGCCACCGGAATGGAGGACAAGACTGGCCCTGTTCAAGTGGACTTCATCCTCTCTCCTACAGCTCCAACATTTCCTCCAAGACTTGAAGATCTCAAGCAGCAGAGCAGCGTAGACGTTTACATGAACGACGTTTTCACGGTTCCAGCAAGTTTGGCAGGTTTACCAGCTGTGAGTGTCCCAGCCAAGGTGGAGGGAAGTCAGTTTCCAGCAGGATTGCAGGTCATCGGACAATACTGGGACGATCAGAGGGTGCTTCAACTGGCAGAAAAGTTAAAATCCCTGGTGGCATGATTGTAGATATATATTACAAGCGATGATTTTTATGATATTATTGTACAATAGAACAATTAGACGACAGCAGTATCTTGGGTGTATCTGAATGGTCTGCTTGCTCCTCCATCAAACTTTCTGTTTTGCATTGAATGGGGATCATGGATGCGTATCCGGGTAGCTGTACGTTTGCCGTGGTCCAGTCTGAGTGAGCAAAGTGCCCTATACAACAAGTAGGTGACGAGTCCATAAGCATGCAAGAGCCCTAGCTCTGCCATTCTCGACTTTCGAATGTCACCCTATCAGCTTAATATGATACGATCTCTTTCGTTTTGTGTCGTTGCTGTAGACATTCAACACCTGTAGATGCTTTCGTATACGAAGCAATGTCCATGGTATTGATGAACCAGGCAGAAGCTTTATCATTCGCTCGCTGCAGCGGCACTATACATATTCTCTTAAAGGGACGGGAGAGTAGAACCCTTTCAGTGATGGATTATGGTGTTTTTCGGGTCAGCTCTTTCGGTTACTGTGCGGAGACAGTCCATCTGATCAAGGTGATCGACTTCGGCTGTCACTTTGACTTCGATTTCGACTTCGACTGCGGCTTCGAATCTGACTTCTCCTCTCATCGCGATCAACTTCCATATCATCTCTATCGGAGATCTCTCCAGATTCTTCTCTTGTTCCATTCTCTTTCTCTGCTTCGTCCTCTTCCTCAAGAAGGTCCTCAAGGTCGCCCAGGGGACTGACCCTTGGCTCAAGAATTTCCAAATCTTCTAAAACTTCTCGCTTTGGCATCTTCCAAAGACTTGTACCGCACACTCGCTCCTTTGTCAAAAGCTCATCCACAAATTCGTCCATGAATGTCAACACCACGCCCGCCCTTCCTCTTCGTCGAAGTTTGCGCCGATCCTCGAGGAACGGCTCCAGCATCTGGTACACGTCCTTCGCTTGTCTTGTGAGTCGGAAATAGAAGCACGCAAGCGCGCGCAGGTATTTAAAAGCCTCTCCGCCATATTTCAGGTATTCCATAAGCACTGCATCGCTGGGCGACAGCTCAAGTAGCTTGAAGGCAAGACACAGGAATGGACTGGGCTTTTGTGTGACACCGTACGTTCCACCAATGAAATTGACATGCTCGACGACGCGATCTACAATATCCGCTTCGTTGAGCGCAAAGCATTGCTCTTTGTAGAAGTATGAGTCGACGATGCGATCCTTAACGGCTTTTTCCATAATAGTCGCAGGATTGAGGCCGTTTGGCGCGACCGATACGTTAGAGCCACGCTCATCGAGGAAGCGACGCGCATCGGCGTGAACTGTGTCTTTGTTTCTGCTCATTGTGTGGCCGTGGTTTAGAAAGTTGTCGATTGTCGAGGTTGGATATGGTGGGGACTGTATGAAAGCTTGGTGTTGGAAATAGTGAAGCTTGGATCCGATAAGCTGATAAGGATGTTGCTGTGTCAACGATGTCAACACTGCACTTACACAGCGGTCAAGGATGACGACAACCAACTCACAACTACCTAAAAGGTGCGCAAAATTGTGAAAGCTCAGCATTTACAGTCCAGCGTTGCTGCAATTTGGCAATTCCGTCAAAATGGCCAGATTGCTTCTTTCATCCGGTCAAGTGCAGGTCATCGCATCGGGCTTCGTCGGTAAGACATATTCTTAACCTCTCCACCGCTATCCGCATTCCAAGTCATGTCATGCTAATAGAACGTTCTACTGCAGTGGTTATTTGTACATTTGCGCTCTTTATCAGTGGCTACATAATCCAGCAAAGAACGCTCACTCAACTCCGCTCAGCGATCAAACCACGACAGGAGACACGCCCGTCGCCAAAAGTCTACCTCCCCGAGAAGTTTCAAGTACGGACGAAGGAGCTGGAGGATGGTCAGGTTATCGACATAGACACAGAAGCAGACATTGAAGTTCGAAGGCAGCGGCTATTAGTTGAGATCAAGGAGACGAAACCCAATGTCGATGTTGAGGGCAATGCCGCACTGGAGAGAAATATTGAGATTATAAAACAGCTACAGGCCAAAGTGGTGGACAAAATGTCAACACCTGAAGGGCATGTCGAAGCACCAGTCAAGAACCACAAGCCTGTGAGCAAAGCAAAGAGGAGGAAGATGATCAAGCAAGAGCTTCAGAAGTCAGCCCAGGCTGAAGATGGGCTTTACTATCAACGCAGGTTGTGGTGAGTTTTTTTTTTTTAGTTGTTTTGCTACAATGCACGGTTTGATTTGAATGTATATATGGTAATGAGAATGGGATATGTAAATGCATGGGTCTTTAAAATCAGAATGAACAGTTTGGCTCGCATGATGGACAATAGCTAGTTATGAATTGGATAGAAGTCAATTACAATCACTACCCCTAAAATTCACGCTCCTATGGATGTCATAATGGCAGCTCTTAAAAATGGATTCAGGGGGATTCTAACGACCTTTTAAGTATAAGGTCTTCGCTGAAGTTTCTATAGCAAATTAAATAGTAATCATATGGGACAGCTAGAGCAGTGAACGTCGGATGTCTCGATGCATGAGAAGCTGTCCTGAACATCGGCAGGAGACAATGCTGCTCACGAAGGTTACGATATCAACATGGCTTCTAGTGTCAAGAAAAATGGTGAACTCAATCAAATCACTCTTCTGTCTTGTATTTCATTCTTTCAAGCCCCTTCCTGAAGCCATCATACATAGTAGGAGACCGTTAAGGGGCAGTATCACTACATGCACAAATGTTGGCAACAATTTACTCACAAGGTTTATACCAGAAGAAATGAAAGGAGAAAGGGGGCCTCCATTGTAGCGATCTCCCTCGATGGGATTTGCTCTAGTACCAGTTGCCAGTATGCATCCTAAAAAGACATGGCAATCGAGTGTCTGACAGGCAGTTAGATTTACCGAACGTTCGAACCTTGCTCTTATTTGATCAGAGAGCCTTGCCATAACATTGGAATACCTCCGCTGGACAATTCGATACTTACTAGATACATTGATCATAGAATCAACTCCAGAACCTTCAGTGTGATGCCGAAAAGGTATTTCATTGTTCGACGCAACGCCATCGTGATGGGAAATGGTGGTCGAGAACGAAGAAGGCCAAAGCGTTACTTCGGCTGTGTCCTGGGGTACAGCGCATCCAAATTCCATTCTTGTCCATGACTCCACATTCGTGTTAACAGAAAAGATACTTGATGCTACATTTGCCGATTATATCGGTCACAGGGCCAAGAATTCTCCGTTATCATGACACTCTATGTCTGATGCGAAAGGGTAGAAGCCAATAGAAATGCAATGTACCGATTAAGATGCGAGCAGGGATTGCTTAGATCCGGCTGTAGAAACAGCCGGAAAGAAACGAAACTTAGGAGGAGATTGAAGTGAGTGATGGAAACCAAAAGACCAGCATCACACTCACTCTCCCCTCAACTTGGAGTCTTGAGTCTCTCCTAGTGGTCATCGAAACAGTCTCGGCCAACTAATGATGGTGTGAAAGACGTTGAACCATGCGATGACTCGATCGAGCAGATCGTGATGGCCTTTCTTATAATGTGAAAGCGATACTGTATCCCCTCTTACATGATAGGCCAGGCAAGGGAGGGCATAAATTCGCCGGTAGCTTGGCTAGCCGGTAGATCAAGAACTAGCAGTTCTGAAGTGGTTGGTCAGGAGTCATCGCGCAACATCAGTAGCTTACCACAAGGCTCTGTCAAGTTGAGCTCATCCAAGCTCTTGGCATCAATTCGGCTGTAGTGGTTCGTACCCATACTTACTTTCACCCACCCACTCACTGCAGAGAATGATCGGAGCAGGCCCGTTCAGCTACAGTAGCAGGAGCCGAAAGTCCGGAGCATGCAATTCTCTAATGCGATTGGATGCCGAGTTGGTGGGAACTTGGGATAGACGAGTCTCTTAGCTGATGTAACAAGCAGGGCAGACAATGTTAGTGGATAACCTGTGACTGCGAAGGATTGCCGAGATATCTGTGCAAAGTTGCCGAGATTCTTGGAAGAAGTTGATGTTCTGAAACGGCCGGTTCGACCTATGTCAAGTTTTTAGATAATGCACGTCAAGAAGATGCATGACAAGTACCTGCATGTGGTGCCTCTAGCTGAGATATCATCATCATCGAGATTCTCTCGAGCACAGTCCACGTTCAGGCGCAGCAGATAGCTGACGTCCCCCACAATAGCTGTCTGGATGCCTACCCAGGTGCCAGGTATGTAGTTACCGTCGGATCATCTTCAAACTGACTTCTGCGGCTCAATTGACTAATCCATGTGAACCTTGCAGCTTTTGTAACGGGCGCGGAAGACACGGAAGATCACCACTGCCCGTCTGCTTCCTCACGCTCGGGACTTTGAAGAGTCACTGCCGAAGAAATATACCTTCGGCTGCCGTTGAATCCGAATCCGAAGTTCCAAGGACAAAGTTAAAGTCCAGAGCAAGGAAGTTGACGGTCATGGTGAACTTGTAATTGGGTCCTTGGCGGCACGCCCGCACCTTGGAAGTTCCGGACGCAATCAAGGCCACATGGCATGGCCAAGGGAGCAGAATAACCTCAAGGTAGCGAGCGAGTGCTGTTGGCAAGTACCGAAGAGTACTTTTAGGCAGTATGCACTGGTGCAGCTTTAGTATTCCTGCAATGTCTCTGTTCATATCGCGATGGATGACATTAATGTTTTGGTGACGAAATACAGTACGCCATACGCGGCGCTGCATAACAAACGTAAACGCTCCCTCCCCGCGCTCCCGTGTTTTGAAACAGCTACCCGCGACCACTGACGTCTTTTGCAAGGCCCAGGATCTACGATAAGCGCGAATTCCTGGACATGGCGAGAAATCGGACACCTTCTGGCCCTTCATCAATGGAGTAACGATCGAGACATTGTGCGTAGGCACGCATCATAAGGGCAATTACACGTAGCCAGAAAAATTAGGGGACGTGAAACATCCACAAGCTGAAACAAGGCGTAGAGCTCACTTCTCAACACTCATTTGCTAACCAGGTTTGCCACATGCCAATCTTGGTGAAGTCATCCATTCCTGAGCCTCGATTTTCATCTTCTTTTTCGCCTCCCCCTGATGTCGTGCGTGGCCGTTGCGAATTACCTTTTGCTCGAGTTGTGCGATTGATCAGCAAGGGCAAGAAGAGGCAAATTGCAAAGGGACGGTTTTAGGCATTCGTGTCTGATCACTTGTTTTGGGCTTTTAAGTTTTGTGGCCTGATGATCTTCATGGAACCCTGGAGACCGCGGCCGCCGTCACGAGGGCTTCTTCACTTGCCCTCGGCCCCGGCACCGTTACGATTATAGCACATGGAATGGGTTCGACTGTTGGGGACTTCACCGATTACCTTGTACCTTCTGGAAGCTCAGCCTCGTTCGCTTACTAGGCAATCCCTCGGACCATTTATCAGCAGTCAACCCTGTCTACGTATATCCCGCCAAGACCCCAACACGAAGTGACTCATTTCCAGTGCCATGATTTTGTCATCAGTTAGAAAAAGGAAGAAAGAACGCGGCTGTGAATGCCAGGGATCAGGGACCGTTGAGACTAGCACAGCCAAAGTCTCGCTTATTAGTGCACAACTTGACGATGATGATGTGAATTTCCCCAGTTCCATGGCCCGGGCTTCGGTGAGGCCGCTCGCCAACAAATCTCATCGTCTCCAGTAATGTTTCACGTCAGAATTGTGATATTTGTGGAAATTCATGAGGCTGAAAATACAGCGTGCAAGTGCAATGCTCGGACCACAATCTGGACTCAAGATGTAAAGTGGATGCTGTTTAGGCTCGGTATCAAAATTTCACAGTGTAAAGTGAGACATGCACGATAATCAAGGCTGCATGATATGGAGACGGCAAATTGTAGTATTCAGCCTCGAGGAAGAGGCTGCTATGGTAGATTGTTCGGTAGAGTAAGAAGAATGCCGCCCAAAGACAGGGAGAGAGTAATAGTAGAGTAATAGGTAGTAGAAAGATCCATGTGAGATGTGTGTCCAACACAATATCCAAGCCGTAAGTCCCATAATCCCATACTTCCTAATCCCATAAACCCCAAAAATGATCGCTTTTATCGCTTTCCCAAAAATCCCAAGGCTCATGTAGACAAAAACTCCAGGCCCCCATTGATGTGTATAGACGTGGAAAGAAAAGAGTCAAGCCCAGATAGTGGACCGAAGGATGTTAAAACAGCCGTGAGATGTCATTCAAAGAAAGAAAAGAAGCAGATGGTATGTGCTGTAATGGGGTATCGACGAAATATCATGACATGAATGAAATGAACAAAAGATGAGAGGGTATTTCGAGTGAGTGGTGTAAGATGATAGTAGTTTAGAAGCTGTTGCGGTCCTGCTCGCATCGCTGGTTGTCAAGGTCATCCTTGTGGAAGACGATGCCACGACGCTTCCATCCTCCGCGTCGGATAAAGTTGTCGACGCTGTCAAGGGAGCGCATAGGAGGACGCTTAGGTGCCAGACCAGGTCGGGCAGTGTAAGTTGTGTTAATAGAGACAGGCTTCAGCGCTGATGCGTGACGTGATAGACGACGCATCTCAAGGACTGAAGCATCATCGGTCTCATCTTCAGAGTCTTCAGACTGAGTTACTTCGGAGTCATCCTCCTCGTCCTCAAAGGTCTGGATGCTCTGGATAGTAGATTCGGACCAGCGAGACTTGGGCATCGGTGGTCGTTTTGATAGTGTTGTAAAGAAGTAATCCCTTGGCTCGTTACCCTCCTCATCAGCAGCATCCATTGGGCTAACGTTAGGAGGCAGGGCCATCTCAGTAGGTTGTTGAGCAGCAACATCTTGCTCAACATAGTCCTCCTCATTGATCACTGCATTGTCGGCACAATAAAACACAGGCTCGGCATCATCCATGCGAATAAACGGTCGCTCATACAACCTTGGTGGTGCGTGGAAGGCAGGATGTGAGGCGAGAGGATCGATTTCGGGTCGAGAAGCTGTTGGTGTTTGGAGGGATGGTGTTGACACTGCGGAGATGGTTGAAGATGAGGATGATGAGAGAGAGCAGCCGGAGGAGAGAGAGGATCCTGAGAATGAGACCTTTCGGATATGGAGATCTCTAGGGCGGCGAGACGACTTTCGTCGCTGGCCGAAGCCGTGTAGTACGTGCATGTTTGGTGTGGTTGTGGTTGTGTGGTGTAAGTGAATTGGTCGTGTAAACCAAAATTGGTGATGGTCGGGTTGGCGTATTAGTAAACCGGAGTCGTAAGTCGTATACGTCCTGGAGTGGTGGTGATGGATGGCTGAAGGAGTCCGGTAGTGGTGGGTGGTAGGTTGAATTAATATAAAGTGAAAGTATTACAGACGATGTTATAATGTCGATGTAATACTCATGAGAATTCAAGGCTACCAGGGCCGAACTTGGTTGTTGAGGTCAGGACCCGAGATAACCGGGGGTGGGAGTGCGCAAGTCTATAAATAATGAGCCCATCGTATTTTATCGTTGAGTGACTGTGAGCGTGAGTGAGCGTGAGTTAGAGTGCAGCTGGAGCTTACGGGGCCATGAACGTCATCCACCGAACCGTCACAGCCGAAGTGGGCGTGGGATCCCTGCTCGCCCAGAGTCTAAGGTTGGTACTTGCACGTACCTGGAGACCTGATCTTGTCCCCTGGCCCTGGTCTTGGCCAGATCTCCACTCTGATCTTGTCTTTGACGCACTTTCTCTCAAAGATTCCCATGCTCTCAACACACGACAGGGGTGTCCCGCTGATCAACGTCCCCCTGTCTCTCAAGAACCGAGTATGTACCTGCGAGTACTGTATGTATGTACCTGGTTTGAGGTTACTTTCTCGACCATCGAGGAACAGGCCAGAACAAATTCCGTGGCATGTTTCGTCCGAACATTTCGACGAAACATCTATCGCCAACTGTGCTAGAATCCAGGAATTGATCTTCGTGAACACGCCTCATTCTTCTCATCAGACTCATCGCCATCAAAGTGGACACCGCTTTTTCTTTTCTTTTTTTTTTTTTTTTTGTCTCCGTCTATCTCAGTCTCCATCCACCAAGAAAAAAAACTGTCAGCCTCTGGGTCTGGGCCCTCACTGTACCTGACTTAGAAATGCTGTGCCTGGTACCTTACCTCTTGTTAGACCACGCCTCAAAAGCCTCTTTTTTCCAAGACAGGTCATCAGGCCCAGCGCCAACTGGTAGCTCCCGAGCTGGAACCGAAACTTTCACGTCTATCACCATTTGCTTCTTTTATTCTCCCTTGACTTCAGCCCTTTTCGACAAGGTCACCGCCAATTCTCGTTAGGCTGCCTCCGACCCATGTAACTGCGAAGGTTGTCTAGGTAGTCACGACGTGTCTGATTAATATTGATTGATGATATCGATTGGAAAAAGGGAAAAAAGCAAATACTCCGAAAGGGCCCGTGCTTGAAGATTCCGGTCCAGAATTCTCGCTCCCAATTGAGATGCCTGGTCCATGTTCAGACAGAAGCATGAGATGCAGGGCGAACATCATGTAGAAATGAAACAAAAGCAAAATGTCTTGAGCGTGAGCGTGAGTCTGAGTGTAAGCCAATTCAATTCCTGGGGCCTGGGGATCAAACCCATCAAGAGATACAGGTAGAGTACAATTGGTATACGAATGAAGTCGATACAAGCTCTTTCAGGTATAAGCTGATAGCAGATCATGCTGTCACTGAGCATAAAATTTGTTGGTTGGCGGTTTCGTGTGCACGCCAGCGCAGATCTGTTGCTGTAATGCATTGCACAGCAAGTTGTCGTGGCACCAAAGGGCGATAACTAAACGTCACTTGTTGCGCATCTTTTCACGACTCCAGTAACAGATCATCCATTTCAAAACCACGACATGCGTAGAGCGGCCACTCCGACCGCTTACTTACCCGTTGCGTTTATCGTTGCCATAGAATTAAGAAGTAGCTCCGAGCAGCCAACAACCACTCTCAGCTGCAGTTTCGCGCGCCAGCCGAAACTGTATTGCAGCATATTTTTCAGCTATTCATCCATCGTGGATGGAGATGGAGATGGAGTCGAATGGAGCTCACTAACCACCAACAGCAGATGAATGAATGTCTTCACCGCTCGCTCCGCACAATGTGACAACCCCCTTGCGTCCCAAGACCGGACGAGAGGCGGCGCCGCTTGTTCGGTGGAGGGGTTCACAGCGGTGCCAAGACGCTGTGTGGGTGTCAACGATCAGGTACGCCGACGATAAAGCAGCTTCTCGACTTCGATGCAGGTACCGTAGGGATTCTCAGACAAAAAAGTGCTTTGTTCGCGATCGTGTAGGCTAATCTCTAGCAGAATCGATATTCAATCTGCGCTTGCATCCGCCCTTGCTACTGAACCCTACAAGCTGAATCTACACCCAGCAACCATCATTTCACTCTTCTCGCTATTGCCAGTCGAGCTGAGATCTATCGAGATGCTCTAACCCCAATCTATGAGTACGCTACTGCGCGGCGTACATACATACAGTAGACTATGTGTATCACACACATGAAATGGCCGACCTAACTTTGTGATGCGATTTCTCACCTGCATCGTGCATGAGACTACCTATCCCGTGCCCTCTCATGTGCCCCTCATCTTCATTCTTCCCCAGACAGTTTGACTCTGTCTTTGTCTTTCGCATTAGGACTGACGGCCGAGCCAAGCATTCGAAGCAATTCACAGTGACAGCGGTTCAATCTCTTTCCGGTCACAAGCGCGATTATAGAGTTGTCGGTGGAGGATGTTTCATTTTCTCCCCATTTGCAATTAATTAAGAAAATAATGGGTACCGCTTCACAACGTGAATCCGAAAACGGCCAACGGTCTGTCACTGGTTAATTGAACACAGGCGGTGAATCTGCTGAACCCCTCATTCCACTTATTCACATCCATTTCACGGTGGAGGACTCATCATGTATGTACCTATGTACGCTGCATCCTGGTCCTGACGATCCAGGGTCTCGTCGTGGAGATACGACCGGGTTTGATATTTCGAGACCGCACAAGTAAATTCGTGTAAACCATAAGAATACGATGACGATATCGGTGGAGAGAAGGTTGCGATTCCATGGAGATATCATGAGTCGCTTCTCGCTTTTTGTCTTGGCATTTGATAAACGAGATGAAAAAGGGCTCGGCAGTGCTGGCCTCCGGCTCCGAGGCCGAACAATCACGGACACGATGAGACTGAATTGGTATCGTGAATAGTAAACATGGCCGAGCCCCAGTCCGAATGTAATCACGATGTTGCAAAAGTCAGGTAATCTCCCTCCCTGCGATGCAGATCGCTAATTCATCCTACCTAGCTGAAGGATCTTGAAAAGTGCTATCTTTTTCTTCTCGCAAAAAACCTTGTAGTTCCGGACTTGGTGAAGCCGGACTGTTTTTCCAGCTCTTTGGGCGTGGCGTCGTGACAGTTAGTGCCCGTAAGCCCGTGCCATTGGCCCGTCTGGGCGTTGAGCCCACCAAGGCTCATTTATCGCTGTCTCCGAACGCAGCTGAGCTGAAGATTACTGTAGCATCGGAAATATGTTTTCTTTTTTTCCTGCCAAATATTGCTTCTTTATCAATTTTCAGGATCGGGCATCGAGATATCACATCGTTGCTGTAGAATCCCAGAATCTGCAATCAAAAGAAGAAAAACTTGCCTGGATCAAAGATCCAAAGTGACAGGGAAAATCAGGGTATCGGTGAATATGCATGCAGGATTAATTGATGCATCCACTCATAATAAACTTTTCTTATTAACCCTTTGCCTTGGTTTGGCAGCGTTTTTCTGACTCGGCAGCTAACTGTGAGGTTACTCCATACATAGATCTCCATTCCCAATTATGGCCTGCTATAGGTCCCTTCTCCCATGCAAGTTAATTGCAATTACCAACACCACGGTCATCCTTGCGTGTCTGAGTCTGGATCTAGAACACAAATTAATTACGACACCAGCAACTTTCTTTAGTTCCCGTCTTTCAGTTTGTTTGCTCTGCTCTGCTCGTGCTTATTGGATTCCCGTATCGGGGAACCAACGTTGCATTTCGCAACTCCGAACAATTCTGACATGAGAAAAGGGTGCTAATTGCCGAATTGGCTTGGCATGGCCAGACATATGACCTACAGACAGGGGGCCAAGCAAACTTTCCAAGATTTCTCTGTCCACTCACATGCGAGTTTGTCGAAACACCATCATGTCTCTAGGCCGATTGCTACCCTACACGAACTGGTGTGTCTGCTGGGCAAAACGTTATCGTATTCTTGTTACTGTACTGCGCCCTGTTCGGTTGCTCGGATGGCGGAAACAATCGTATGAATGCAATACGACCACACACACTTGGGATGATTTACAGGTGCTGAAACGTGTTCATGTACCTGCAGGTACAAACTGTACCTTGCGTCTTTGCAATGAGTTCACCACCATCTCTTGACGTTAATGATAGTCACGATCACCATCGCCCCCGACCGCCATTCAGCGACGAGCAGATAATACCTTCAATGACATTCATGCAAATCTCAGCTTGTCATTGGCCACAGCCCCTCCTCTATTACCCCCCAGTGTTTGAACGGCTGCCTCTATCTTGATTCCGGTCCTTCCCCATTAATCATCAATATCATCATCATCGACCCGATGTACGGCCACATTTCTCCTTTCTCGACACCATCTTATCACGATTACAACTCATGTGTTCGTGACAATCTCCTGACGATCACCAACTAATGAAGAAATGTCTCGGTTGAATTTGAGCTCAATCGATAAAGCCTGATCTTCCAATTGACACTCACGACGATCAGTCCAACGCGGGGACCGGCGTGGCGCTCTGGCCCCTGCGCAGCTGCGCTACCTTTACAATCGTGAGCTAAAGCAGCACCATCTGAAGCTTTATTCATTGACTACGCGTATTCCCGCTCGATAGCTGCGTCTCTGGCGTGTCTCTTAGCAGCTTTAGTTAATCTTAGCCTTGGCCTTGTGCTGTGATATCTTGGCCTCGTCAGCCAATGTGATGATACCTCAGCCACTCATTGGGATGCTAGGCTGTGAGGGACGAGGCTCGAGCGTCGCGTCCCCTCGATCGACGATGAGATGAACTGTCAATTGAGGGGATCATGCAGTGCGATTAAGACGGGACGGATTGACACCCATGATAGTAATCAGAAATACAAGTACATGGTCAGGTAAGTACTGCGATACTGGCGATGGCTAGGCTGAGCCTTGTTTAACGGATTCAGCTTAGACTTGGAAATTGTGAGATGCAGGGGCATTGTGTCAACGTGACCCGATGCAAGGGATGATTTGAAGCCATTGACTGATGGCAGACCGCCAAATGAAGATGTTCTGTGCCTTGGTATCGCGTTGTATCGATTGTCTGTCTGTCCAAATGCATGTTGCGGTAGGGTACAGATTACGCCTACTAGTGCTTGCAGTGCGTGATATATGCACCTCACAAACTGACTTACATCTGCAAGTCTCATAGCTGCAAGCCTTGTAGTAGTTTCGAGTCTCTTGTTCGATGTTGTCAATTTTGAGGCATCCCCTTTTCGCATTGTCCACCCGTTTCAAGCCTGTGAAACATCTCACCCTCCAATAACCTAGAATCAAGATCGAACTTCCATAGACTCATCGATCCTTTGTCAGTCTGACGTTAGATGTCCTCACTTCAGTCTCGATCCCCATCTCATAACTTTGTCTCTGATATCCCTTGGACCATTCGGCTGGGTCAAACAGTGACGTTACGGCTCGTCCCTGCAGCCTCAAACCGACTTTATCCCCGGACCCTCTGGGCGAAACGATTGGGGAGCCGCGCGGATTTCACTCAACGCGATACAGAACTAGAGACAGATAACGCGATCTCATTCCGAAACGCCAAAACGCCTTTGATGCCATTTACATATGGTACATTATCCTTCTTGGCGACCCTTGCTTCTCGGTGTTTCAGAAACAACCGTGACATTAAGGACGGGAAGATGTAATGACGTCGACGCGGTCGTGATCGTGGTCTCTTGCAACCTTCACAGGAGATCGATATTGATGGCATCGATGATGTTCTCAAGTTCGTGATAGCTTCCCACACACGCAAAGCAAGGGAGCATGTACAGCCTCATTTACAACACGCCATCATTCTCACCCGGAAGTCTCTTCACCCGCTTCTGTTCCCAATCGTCAAGGTCCTTGCCAGCAAGTCTCTGTTTCCAAGAATTAGTGAATCACACATCTCAAGCAACATTCTTCCTCCCGTTCCAAGACTGAGACGTACGTAGTACTCCTCCTTCATGTCCACCTTCCTTGCAGACCGGCGCACATTGAGTTCCTCGTCCTTGGTCATCTGGCGGACCTTGCGGTCGTACCGTTCGTAGCGGACAGCAGTGGCTGGAGTGAGGACGAAGGATCCAGCAACGATGACGGCCATGAAGGGCAGGCCGAACATAAGGAAGGGATGCTTGTTCATGAGGGTGCGGTAACGCATGCCGATGCTGTTCATGTCGGCCGCGGACCGGAACTTTTTGCTCTGAAACGCCGGCATCGTGGGTCAGTTGTCGGTCGGTAGGGCTGACGAAATCAGTGTAGGATATCGGAAGCTCCGGTGAGCCACTTCGGACGCGAAAGGCTGTACCGTTTGTTGGTGAGCAGACAGAACGAGTTCGGCGGCTGTGGAGAGGCAGTCGCGAGTAACGCCTGACTGATAGCACCGTTGATACACGCCGGGTATGGTCTGGTCCAACTTGAAGTGTGGAGAGCCAAGAATTGACCAAAAGGAAGAGTTTGATTTGATTCACGAGGTCCGACAAGATGAACTGACTTCATCGCCGAAGTCCCACTTTTACCGCTCCGAGCGATCTAGTCTATGGCCTGTGCGCGTTTACTTTTTCCCGGTCCGACGACAGCATGGAGATTTCCGACTGCCGGACCTCGAATTTCAGGGTCCAGACTCCACTATCAATGCTGGAGCCGAGACAAACGGCTCTTGACTAATAACAAAGAATTTATCACATCTGAAGGATGTTTACCAACACAGGCCACTTGCTATTTGCCACTAGCTGCGAGGAAATTTCCTTTCAGCCTCATGTTGACCGAAATTGAGGGTCTAAATGTCCTCATGTACCGTCTTGTACCACACCAAAAGGGCGTGTACGGCGCCCAAGCTGTTGAGACCGGGTAACTCCATGTTGTCTGGAAATAAGATGACTCACTTGTGCTATTGGACCCCGAATTCTGCCTGGCATATCCTGGAGAGTCAGTGACACTCCAACGGGCTTGGACTCGTGCAACCGCCCTGAGAACGCCTTCAGAGTTCCCAACGTCAAGCACATGCGCCCGTGCTTCTTGGTCCCGATGCTCAGCTCTTCAAATTTCTTCCAGAATTTGTTCCGTGCTTCTTCTAGTCAGGAACAGAACGGGCGGTTGCAAACTTTTCTTTCTCAAAGCCTGAACCCTGTTTATTGTTGAATGAAAAGCAACGGCGTTGAAATTTAGACTGCCTAGACTTTAGTTCGAAAAGTTCGGACATTTGGTTGAGTGGCTAATGCCTTAACGGGTCTATTGACCGTTGAAAATGGTTGCGTCAGTCAACCAAGGGTCTTTTCTTATTGCCGTCTGGGTGCCACGTTACATATCATTCAACAACGAGGTTGAGTTACCGAACGTGGTCGAGAAGACACGCGTATGCTCCTGTTGTGATAGCCGTGATTAGGAATGCAAACTTATGAGAAGTGAACCCTGTCAGATAATCAGAGACCACAGTTTTTTAAACGATACTAGCTTTTGTTCTAGTATTGAAAACACCACCATAAAGACTCCTATGGAGCATTGAGCGGGATACCTGAAGTGGAGGGAGGGTCGAGGTAGAGAAACAGCTGTGCAGCACTCGAAGGCCGAAAGACGCTATTCGCATGTTGCCCTGCCCGTTCATGGCGCAGGAACTCCTTAGATCATCATTTACATATCTTTCCGGGAATAAATGGCGAGCAAATGGCCTCCATCGGCGTCGTGAGCCCGAATGCGTGTCACTCAATTCTGTTTCACGACCCCTAGGGTAATTCACAAGACATCGCACAAGGTGTGATTTCTTGCGGCTGGATTGGCCTTTATACATACCATCTCGGCTTTGCCATCAGCTCTTACACTGAGCTTTGTGAAGGTATTCGGTTCTTCGTGGCATGGACAAACTTCCGGGTGAGCCCCTTGCTAAGAAATACATTTGAGACAGAACGAAATCTGTAGGGCATTGTTAGGAAGAGAATCTATCTGGAACAGGCCGTGACATGTTGCAAATCTGGGGTTACATGAAAAGATTCTATACACCCAGAAATCTAGTTCATTCCGGTGATTTTCCTGAGAACGTCAGTCTTCCTGTATACGAAGTCGATTGTTGAGCCCCTCAACGGCCATCTATTATTATTTCAGGGAAATATTTGTTTTGTCTCCCTTCTAAATGCCTTGGTTATCGTTAGCCCCCAGTCTCCTTGATCGTTGCCAAGTAACATCCTTAGTGATGTGCGGCGGTTCTTATGGCGGTCGAGTTGATCACAACTTCTAAGAAGAGCATCATAAAGCCACATGTCAAGCGTCAATCCAAGGTCAGGATTTGGTATCAGCCCCTGATAGTTGTTGAGGTGCAAGAAAGGCTTATTTACCCCCAATCTTCGACTGGTAGACTTTCGGACGGTACGGTGACGCCAAACAAGCATAAGAAAAACATTTGTAAATGGTATTGCAAGCACTGATATTTCTACACTTTTTCGGTGCAGAAAACCAGAAGCAAGCTCTACATAAACACGCTTTAGGTTCCTCATTTTATAGCTACATCACTCATAAGATTCAGTATTAATCCTTGTTTCGAGGACTGGAAACTGGCTCAAACGATCACCTATGTTGTTATCATTTAGAGTAGCGAAGTAACTACTGTCTAGTAATTGTAATGTCACTGCGTTTCACAAGTGCCCTGGATAGCACAGAGGAAGTAATACGAGGCATGTGTTGTTTGTCACTCTCAGTGTAAGTCTGTTCCCTATTATTCTATTCTTTCTCTTTCTCTGTTACCGGTAACTTTCGGTAGGATGATAGCTTCAATAAATTGCATGATGTAAGTCCGTAGTAACTTCTATACTCCAGCTTCTCATTTCTTCAGGTGGCTCGATACTCACAGGCAGGTGTTATAGTTGGTGTAGCTCCCACCTTAATCATGCAAGCTTCTGGCTGCTGGAATCATTAAATTTGTGCCGTTTGCTCATGTTATATATCCAATTTGCAGGACATCTATCAGTAAATAGAGTATAACACTGTCGAGTTGCTTTAATTTTCGCTCACATACCTTAATAGTTCTAGCTTATTAAAAATGGCGATTTTGGCGGTCTTTTCGTTCGACTGGTGAGGTAGTGTAATTTGAGTCACTGTCATTTAATGAGCCATCGGTAACTAGGGAAAAAGAATTAACTATATATGTTATTGTAGTTTAGAAATATCAGCATTGTTTAATACTGTATCTTGGAAATGCACATAGTTCAGCGAAGGGGAATCAGTGGTGTGCAGGGTAAGCAGCTTGCTTGTCAGGCTAGGTAACTCTCAGTTTCTACTTCTAAACTCTCCACTCGATATCGACACAATCATTGGACAACCTAACTTGAACCCTTCCATTCATGTCCAATCAACCGCAGCAAACCAACAACGATTCAACATCCTACAGACACCTCCTTCGCTACTTTTGCATCTTTGCTGCCCCATTAGTGTTTCTCTTCATATTCAAATCCTTCTCCACTAGGACCGAACCAGAAACTCAGCCAGAAATCAAGATGTCAGGAAAACTGCCTCTCGTTTTCCCTGCGGCATCCCGCCACACGGCTACCGTCATCTTTGTGCATGGCCTGGGTGACACTGGCCATGGCTGGGCAAGTGCTGTCGAGAACTGGCGCCGACGAGAGAAGCTCAATGAAGTCAAGTTCATTCTGCCTCATGCTCCTGAAATCCCCATCACTGTGGTGAGTTGACCTTCGAAGAGCCTGTTCAAGCCCTAACTAACACGTTTAGAACATGGGAATGAGAATGCCTGGATGGTTTGACGTTGTTAGTTGCTCTTTTCTCTGGTGCACTTGATTGGCCACCCTAACACGAAGCAGAAACAACTCGGCGGAGATGTTGATAGCTTGGTCCGCAATGAGGATACAGAGGGCATTAAACGAAGCCAAAAGTACTTTCATGATCTCATCCAAGAGGAGGTCAACTCTGGCATCCCCCCTGAGCGTATTGTCCTTGGAGGTTTCTCCCAGGGAGGCGCCATGTCACTCCTTGCTGGTCTTACCTGCACAAGCAAGCTGGGCGGTATCGTCGGCCTTTCATCATGGCTTCTCCTGTCCAAAACCTTTGCCGACCTTGTCAAGCCCACGGATGCCAACCGCCAGACTCCTGTGATGATGTTCCATGGCGATGCTGACCCTATCGTTCCTTTCCAGCGTGGAAAGCTGAGTGCCGACATGCTCAAGGAGCTTGGCTACGATGTGTCATTCAAGACTTACCCGTGAGTGACCAGTGCCATATTAACAAGTAGATGCTAACTCTCGATAGTGGTATGGGTCACTCTGCTTGCCTGGAGGAGCTCGATGAGGTTGAGGCGTTCCTGAGAAAGCAATTGCCTCCCAAGAACTAAAGTCATATATGGAACAGACCTCACAAAGTATAGACTAAGAACCTCTGAACACAGAACACTCTCCTGCACGAAATAGAAGACAATAGACAGTCTACCAACCGCCAATGGTTTCCAAAATCTGGATATCACATTCTTCTGCCACGAGTTGTGAAGGGGCCAATCATATAGACTTCATGTGCCGCGTGTTCTATATCTGATATCGCTCATCGATACCTCGTGATGCCAAAAGATCTCCAAATTCTCCGTGTGGATGGATGAATGCCCGCCAAATGACGTGCGCTCCACTACTGAGTGGCTCAGAACGCCCTACCGAGTTGCATGATAAGGCCGGGCCACTAAGTGCCCTAACGCCTAGCGCACGCGAACGTTCTATCGGTGGGGAGATGGGCTCGAAACAACAGACCCTTGATCCTGGACCACTTCTTCTCCAACATTCGCCAACCGAAACCTTGGTAGAGTTGATAACCTTGACCGTCACTCGGCAAATCCAAATTGACGCATCAACTTCATTGCTGTGAAGCACACAACTATATCTGAAGTTTTGTCGTTTGTGCGCCCTGAGAAACAAGTCTCACAAGCCCGAGCATACCCCGATGATCGACCGCCCAAAGTAAACAAATATGGCCTCCGAAACAACATCGCGTCCAGTGTCGCCGACACCGTCACAGCTACCGCCCGTTCCGGGATCGCCAGTCTATTCTCTTGCATCGACTGCAAACCCGTTATCTCAGTATCATCTGCCTTTGCCGCCTCCCCCACGATCTCCACATGCTGTCCTTACAAAAGCCGACCTAGAGCTCTCTCAGCAAGCTTACTCCGACCTTGTCGCCTCCGCAAAAGGCTACCGACTGGCACTCGCCGCATTATCAACAGCCGCATCGACA